AGCACGACTTCCCCTTGGTGAAGCCATGTTTTCATTGTTAATGAACCACTAGAAAAGGATGAGTGAAACATATATTTGCAACAATTGATATGATTTTAAAAAAATATTTATAAAGGAGTTCTGTGTGACTTCAGTGCTAATAAGAGTAAGCAGATTCTTGGGAGCAAGAGCTACTGCTAACTGTGACAACTGCCGTGTTTTCTGTCTGCCATAAAGTTGCAAACTGGGCACGATGTGAGTCTTGTATTTTTTCCCTAACTCCAAACTTATGTGCCTGTTCTCTGGAGGAAGGACCTAGAAATGTCAGAAGTTGTTCTCTCACTGGTCATCTAGAATTTTAGCCAACAAACTGACTGTTATGATGTAGTATTATCTATCAGAAATAGGCCTGGGATCCCCAGTTTATCTGAAACCGACAGCTGAGAAGGACTCGTATGTTGTTCATTATTGGGTATGTAGGATGTATTTTAAAAATATATAAATGCACTTTAATCTGCAAGTACCTTCACCAGTGGAAAACACAGAAAAATGATGAATCCTGTAATTTCAAAGTAGAAGATCTAATGAAGAATGAAGGGCTAGAAGTTAAAATCAAATGCAGTTTCTAACAGAAGAGTTGATGAACCATTGGAACAAACTCTTAAAGATTCTCCACTTCTTCAAAACTGCAGATCATAACTGGGTAACTCTGGAAATTCTGCTTTAGTATTGTAATGACTCAATGCAGAAATAACTAGATTAAATTGTATAGCTTCTATTACGTGGGAGATCAGACCAAATTACCTAGTCTCTTTCAGCCTTAAGATATACAAGTCTCTGTCAATCGTGGCTCACAATGAAAAGTCTCAATTTCTAATCTCCATCCTTCAGCTTTTTCAGCAAACTCCATATTTATGAAGCATTACCTTGTGCTCTTTTTAAGATTTTACCAGAAGAGGATGACTATGGATTTGACATAGAAGAAAAGAACAAAGCAATTGTGGTGAAATCAGTTCGACGAGGGTCTTCTGCAGAGGTTAATATTCATAAATATTTTTATTTTGGTACCTAAGAATATTTCAATGCTTTGAAAAGGTACAAAACCATCCTTTTAAAGTCTGTTTCATTTTAAAGGCAGCTAATAGAAAATTGAGTATCTTCTACAATACCTGTGGTAATAAATTGTTTCTGTAAATTGCTAAGTGTTTTGGCATCTTTGGGTGACATGCTGAATATATTTGATAAGTCATAAGACAACACCAGTATCTCTATGTGATATCGTACCTCAGGTTCATTAGCAACTTAATTTTGAGGAAGGAGGGAAAGTAACATTGTTTAGGGATAGCAAAGATATTCAATTAGAAACATGTTTATTTGAGTGAAAGCTGTATTTTTAGATTTTTTTTTCCTTAAAGAGCACACACTCATTTATCTCCCTACTATTTTTAGAGCTCTACAGAATATATTTGCTTTGTTTCTTTGAGGCACATAGATGGGCCATATGTTATAGGACCAGAATATTTCATAATAATTTGTTTATCCATACAAAAGCCTTGAGTGGATAACACAGTGTGATCCTCCCTTTACCAAAATATGGCATTGACAGACTGAAATTCTGTTTAGTAAAAGCTATTTCACAGAATCACAGAATCGCTCGGTTGGAAAAGACCTCTGAGATCATCATGTCCAACCGTTCCTGTCTACCCACTAAACCATATCCCTAAGTACCTCATCTACCTGCTCTTTAAATACATCCAGGGATGGTGACTCTACCGTATTTAGGTACCTTTTAGCACCTGTGAAGGTAAGAGAGGACTGAATATCTTGTCCAGGGTCTCACAGTAAATTGTGGCAGCACAAAGACAGTACTTCTAATTAAAAGCCCAGGACAACCATTACAGAATTTTTTATGTGCGCATTCACTTGTCAGTCACTGCTGGAAGCTACAGATAACTCCTGGATGACTCGCCCAGTACAAGCAGCTGAAGTGGACTGCCTGATTTAAGCAAGTTAAAAGTGTCAAACTGGAAGGAATTTTGAACCGAAGTTTAATATTAGATTTATATTATTTCAGTATTCCTGATTCTCATTTGTTTTATGGTCACTAAGGAGACCATTCCTGTGCTCTATCTCATGTTCAAAATCAACATAGGTTGGCCAAAAAATTCATTAATCTAAACCTCTGCTGTAAACCCTTGCCTGACAGATAATCCTTCTGCCCTTTCTTTGCCTGTGGAATATCCTACCAATCTATTGTGTTTTAAGACAACAGAAACACAAAATTTTCCTAAGGAATCTTTTTCTTGATCTTCCAAGACAAACTGTCTGTGATCATAAGCACGGCTGAAAATGACCTTTTCAACTTGATCTCAAAATATTGCTCCAGAAAATAAATAAATCTGCATCTCTGTGAACCAGAGGGCTGCCAGCTCATTCTGGAAAGACCTGAAGTCCAACAGTAATGCATTTCATTACATTCTTGGGCTTTTTAAAATTGCTTTCTGATACTAGAAGGATATCCAGCATGTAGTTCTGTGTGACTCAGCAGCTGTAGGCCATTTAGAGACCCTCTGCCTGCTGTCACAGTATTTAGGGACAAAAATTAAGACATGCAGCTTAGCTTCACAATGCCCATCACACTGCATTGCAGCCATTAGGACTGTCAGACTTTAGGCCAGAATAAGATTCCAGGTTCACCAATTAAGTGGGAACAAATCTATTATTTGCATGGATTTATTCAAGATTAACACATTCTGTTTGAGTTTGGGATTGGGATCTCTTCCCTGGTGTACCTGGAGCAAAGTTGTCATGCACAGGTTGTGGCAGCGCACTGCACTGAATTTCATGCATGTGCAATAAGAGTCTTTGAGGTTTTTATTCAAAATCAGAGTTGCCAAGCATTGTTCTTTATATCATTAGTGTCTTTTTTTCTTCTGAAGATTTTTTAGAAACTGTTTTGGGAGCTGTTAGATTTGCCTATGCCAGAAGCAGTTCCCAAACTATGTTTAAAAGTTGTTAAGAAAAGAATTGCTGGAACATCAAATTCCTGTATTGCAATAGGATACTTGAACTGAAGTTTGGGAACTCTTTGCCTGACACATGTGCACCTTCTCAGTTTTGACCCTTAGAAAAGCCATGCACATTCTCTCCTGATCCTGACTGGTGAGCAGCTCTCAGCCCAAGACTCACCTTTGGAAATTGTCACGCTCCTGGCAGCAGCTGCCTGTGACTGTTAACCCTTGCTCAGCTCACCTTGATAGAGGGTCACAGAAAATCATATAGCACTGACTGGTTGATGTGGACTGTGGCACGTCCCATGCCCATTCCAAGTTCATGTGTCTTCAGAAGGACATTCATAAAGTCAGCGTCTCCTCAGTTTGTACCTTACCTTCCTTTCTAAGCCAGCTTGCTTGCAGGTTAATTGTAGCTGGGCTTATTCCCGCGAGTTTTAATCCTGGAGCTGGTTTATAAATGATAGTCTATCAGAAGGAAGCAACAGTGAAAAAAATTATCCTTTTGGGAGGTGTGGTTGCAGTCTTACTCAGAACAGCCAACTGACAAGCAGATGTCTGGTGTTTGAGCAGAGGGTGTTCAACAAGCAGCCAGTTGGCCAGTGGCCATGCAGATGAATAGCAAACAACAACCTGCTGACGTCTAGGAAAGAGCAGTGGCCTGGATCCAGACAACTGCATTGAGTTGTCATAAGGAACATCCGTTATTCAGGAGCCCTGTAACACTGTAGGTCTTTACTCTCAGATGCATGCTGTCTAATCGGCCTTAGCCTGCTTAGTTCTATCCCAGTAGAGTACCAGATTTTTATTTGAAATTTGCTAGTTTGTAGGTTTTAATATGTGACTTTGTGCCTCATAGCTTCATGGCTTTGCTATCATTATGTGTACAGGATGTTGTCAACTGTAGAGAGCTTGAGAATTAAATCAAGGAGACCACTTCGATTTGAGGAAAAAAAAGAACCAACTATAAGCTTTGTAGGTAAACTGATCTCTGACTTTCAGACCACAAAATGTATTTAAGAAAAGCCAAGTCATGCATAGTCATAGTCAGCAGGGTTTTCCAGTCCTACATTTCCAGATTCATTTTTGCAACAGGTCTGATTTCATATGTGTGAGTAGCGCTGCTCAGTCCTCGTTTTTCCAAGTCAAGGAATCTGTCAGTGGATTCCAGGCAAAACAGGAGAAGGGTTTGTCACATTTAGAAAAAAAGCTCAACTGCTGGACCTTAAAGTGATAGGAAGTCATTCTAACCTGGGAAAGGTTATTTTTTTTTCTTTTTATTCTATTAAAGGGAATTTTATATTTCCTTGATATCCTAACACCTAGTCTAAGTGCTGTTACATCACATTTTAACTGGTATGGACCAAGAGGTGTGTTTAGGGTTATCGTCCTGTGAGCAGAATTAGGGGGTCTCAATTCTGTTATCAGATATGTCTCTTCCTTACTGTGCAACCATAACCAGATAACTAAAGTTAGGTGCCAAAGCTATGAATGAAAATGAAAATCTTGTCGCTTTTTAGGCTGATGAAGAGCCAGCTTCACTTAAAGCTAACAGGTTTTTACCACCGCTTAAAACCAGATTACATTTACTTACATGACTAGATATGGTGTGGTTTTCCATGGCTAGTGGTTGAAAACTGTATTCTTGACTCCCTGTTCCTGAGCTGTAAGCTGTGGGAAGTCACACTTCTGTATCTCACTGGATATCACAGCCAGTCTATTATAATACCTATTTTTAGTCCCCATTTTTTAATGCAGTCTCCTTTTTTTTAGTACTTCCCTGATAAAAAAAATGTAGCAGAAAACTACAAGACACATCCATTGCAAAGTAAGATATATCTGTGGAGTGGCATGTCTGTACAGATATTGGTGAAATCTCTTTGTTTTCTGTAAATGCAGACAACTTTAAGGGTGACTCACAAATGATTTGGTGAACCAACACTGTAGGTATAGTATTCCATATTAAAATGATCCTAGGAACATCCATGAGTAGAGAGCAGTTGAACCTTAGAGCCTGAACTTTCAGAGGTGCTGCCAATGATCCAAAGTTTTCTGTGGTGTTTGTTTAATTTCAGATGGCTGGCCTGCAGACGGGAAGAAAACTCTATTCCATCAATGAGGACTTAATATTCCTACGCCCGTTTTCAGAAGTTGAAACCATCTTAAACCAGTTCTTCTGCTCACGAAGGCCACTTAGGCTTCTGGTAGCCACCAAATCAAAAGAGTAAGTGCCAAGATGGGCAGACAGAGATGATGATTTCTAAACATCAGCTACTTCAATAAATATTTCTTCTACAGTTTATAGGGAAAACTATGTAAACACTTTGCTATGCAGAAGTTATTCAGTAGGAAAATAAATGACATAAATAGAAGAGAAACAAGAGTCACAAGGTTTTTTTAGTGATGAACCTTGTGCTTCTAGAACAAGTTAGGATGTATTCTCTTTATACTGCGGTTAACTTTTGGTTTCCTTGTGCACAAAGAGAACTGAATCACAAGGATTGTCATTCTGTCTCAGGTGTGAAGCTTCTCAGACTCTAATATATGTCCAAGGGAAAGCCATTTCCACCCCATTAAAGCTTGGCTTATTCTTATATGACTCTAATGATATCAGCCCTTACAGTTTTTCAGTTCATTATTGTATCTTACAGTGAGGCTTGACTCTGTTAGTGTCTTGTGCATTATTAGATTCTGTATTCCCAGAATTTGCTATAGAATTGATCGTCTCCATGAGTACTTGATGCTGAATTCTAGTCCAGGATATCGGAGGGGGGG